AAATATGGAGAGGATGCATTTTTTGGAAACGGGGTGTCACTAGATTGCAGACATTTATATTGGAGGTTAGTGACTGCCGTTGTCTGGGAGCACAAAAAGCTCATTGTGCCGGTGCGGTAAATTGTTTGGAAGTGCTAAGCGCTTAGCTGTTCTTTAATGTGTTTGTTACTGACAGGTAAATTGCAGGTTAAGTGCAAAAGCAGCATTAGCAGAGAAGCACCAGCTTCCGCAAATCCACATTGGCCTCTAATCTGAATACAAAGGCAGGGAAGGAATTAAATTGGAGACCCCCCCCAAAAAGACTGCTTGTTCAATCCCAGACTTATTGAGTAAGCTCCTATCAGATGCCTCATGGTTGTTTTGGGCTCACCTCAAGCAGGTAAAGAATGCCCACAAAAGAGAGCTCTTGACAAGTAATTGACTGGCTCAAAACTGGTGCCGTTCCTTTCTATGGCCCAACAATGCGAGGGGCCAGGCACAAGGATTTCTCGGAGGATTGTTAATTTAATTGGTTTTCGAAAGGCTGTTGGGCCCTGCGAGCAGCTATGTGCTGGCACAGCTAACATGGGAAACTATCTTCTGCTACTTAGGCCTGGAATGATGAGGGATGGGGAAGGAGGGTTCAAAATTGTATGCAAAAATGGGTGCCATGAACGTTGGTGCAGAGGGCCAACTCAAGACTTCTGTGACATTTGAATAGGCCTTAACTGGCAAAAAAAAAAAAAAAAAAAAAGCCTTAATTGGCTGCCTGCACAGGGGTGAATTTCATTTTATTATTTCCCCGTGATAGTCTAGAATTTCTAAGTGGCTAGGGATCCCGCTTTCTATCAGCCACTTGGAAGAACTGGAGCTCAACTAGAAAATTCTTGTTTCACATCCCCCCGAGTTGAATCGTGGCAGGAGGAAGCAGGGTGTTCTCAGTGGGAGGGGGGGGCTTTTTTAAACCTTGCCCCTCTAGAAACTCTCTACTGCCTGGCTTTGGTGTCCTTGGAGATGCAGAGTCCAGCCAGGCATTCTGCATGGTAGGGGAGTTCTTGGAGGGTGAATGGTGGTGGGGCTAAGAAAGGATAGTGACCCACACTTGACCACAGGCTCCGTGAGGAGGATGACGTAACAAATCCATCCATAAATAATAATATAATATAATATAGGGCTGGGAGAGACCTCAAGAGTTTTTAATTTAAATATTGCTATTGTGGAAACTATAATAAGTTTCTTCAAGTTCTTCCTACATTCTAGATATTAAGAAAAATGATTTCCCTAGGAGAGAGGGGAAGCGCTGGGATGGGTTCCCTGGGGAGGGGGTGGAATCTGCATCCCTGGAGGTTTTTAAGTCCCAGCTTGACAAAGCCCCGGCTGGGATGATTTAGTTGGGGTTGGTCCTGCCTTGGGCAGGGGGCTGGACTTGATGACTCCTGAGGTCTCTGCCAGCCCTAGGATGCTAAGGCAGAAACCAAAGGTTGGTTGGTTTCTTTAGTCCTGGTTAATGCCAATCCTGGCTCTGATCTTTGGACATACTAGCTCAGCTCGCCCTAGCATCTTTGTAAATTGTCTTGTTTCAGCCCCTTTCCAAGGTGTTCAAGCCCACAGTATCACACTTGGATAATTAAAAAGGAATATGATGCCTGTGTTATTAAACTGTGGTGTGAGGAGCCTTGCGTGAGGAACGCCAAACGGATGATCCAACTTGGATAGTTTAGATATCAATAGCTATTTCCTAGAATCATGGGACTGGAAGGGACCTCAGTAGGCCAGCTCGTCCTGTCCCCTGCACTCAAGGCAGGGCTAAGTATTCTAGACCATCCCTGACAAGTGTCTGTCTACCCTGCTCTTCAAAACTTCCAATGATAGAAATTCCGCAATCTCGCCAAGCAATGTATTCCAGGACTTAGCTACCCTGACAGGAAGCTTTTCCTGATGTTCAACCTAAACTCCCTTGCTGCAATTGATGCCCATTGCTTTTTGGCCGATCCTCACACGTTAGAGAGAACAGTTTACCACCTTCCTCCTTGTAACAACTTTTTATGTTACCAACTGTTATCAAATCCCCATTCAGTCGTCTCTTCCCCAGACTAAACTAACCCCATGGTTTTCAGTCTTCCCTGATAAGTCATGTTTCCTAGAACTTTAATCATTTTAAGGACTAACATAAATTTGGGCATAAGCTTTCATGGGCAAAGACCCACTTTGTCATGAAAAAAACCCCTTTTTCCACAAAAGCATATGCCCAGATAAATCTGTTAGTCTTTACGATACGACAGGCCTCCTCGTTATTTTTGCAGATATGGACTAACATGGCCACCCCTCTGATATTAATCATTTTTATTGCTCTTCGGACTTTCTCAAATGGGCCCAGAACAGGACCCAGCAGTCCAGTTGAGACCTAATCAGCTTGCGGTAGACCAGAGGAATTACTTCTCGGCTGTGTCTAGACTGGCATCTTTTCCGCAAAATCAGATGATTTTGCGGAAAAACTTGCCAGCTATCTACACTGGCCGCTTGAATTTCCGCAAAAGCACCGACGATCTCATGTAAAATCATCAGTGCTTTTCTGGAAATACTATGCTGCTCCCGTTTGGGCAAAAGTCTTTTTCCGAAAGACTTTTGTGTGAAAAGGCCAGTGCAGACAGGACAGTACTGTTTTCTGCAAAACAGCCCCGATCGCGAAAATGGCGATTGGGGCTTTTTTGCGGAAAACCGCGTCTAGATTGGCCACGGACGCTTTTCCACAAAAAGTGCTTTTGCGGAAAAGCATCCTGCCAATCTAGATGCAATTTTTCTGAAAATGTTTTTAACGGAAAACTTTTCCATTAAAAGCATTTTCGGAAAATCATGCTGGTGTAGACGTAGTCCTCATGTCTTGATGACAATGTGGACTCGTATTTAGCTTATCATCCACTGTGACCCTCAGATCCCTTTAGGCAGTACTCCTTCCTAGACAGTCACTTCCCATTCTGTAGGCTCCGTCTACACTGCAGGCTTATTTCGAAATAAGCTATTCCGAAATCATTATTCTGAAATAGCTTATTTCGGAATAACACGTCTACACTGCAGGGAAACCTCCAAATTAGTCCGAGGCAGGCTTCCCTAATCTAGACGTGCTATCTTGATTTAGAGCCCTAGGAGGAATAACTTAGACTGGTCCTGGGGAGGGGCTATTTCGAAATAGCAGCAGTGGAGCATCTACACACACCTAATTTTGAAATAGCTATTTCAGAATAGGTGTTATTCTTCATAGAATGAGGTGTACAGAAGTCAGGATAAGCCGTCCGTTATTTCAAAATTATTTTGAAATAATGGAATTGCTGTGTCAACGCTCGCATCGTTATTTTGGAATAACGGCCGTTATTCCGAAATAACTGTGCTGTGTAGACACACCCTATGCGTGCAAATGATTGTTCCCTCCTAAAAGGAGTACTATGAATTTCTCCTTATTCTATTTCTTCGTATTTACCTCCGACCATTCCTCCAGTTTGTCTTAATCATTTTGAATTTGAATCCTATTCCCTAAAGCAGTGGTGCTGGAACTAATTTTAGGGTGGGAGTGCAAAGCTCAGACCCCTTCTCCTCTTCTGCTTGCCTCATTCCCCCAGGCTGGGGTCACCCCTAAGGTTGCCAATCTCCCCTATTGGACACCATTGCTGCAAAATGGCATCCGGTATGGCCGGTTTGGGAGAGCTGGCAAATCTAACCACCGCTGATGGTGGCTGTGGAGTTCTGGGACCCTGAACTGCAGCGGAGCCTCCAGAGCCAGCAGCCTGGACCCCAGGGCCAGCCGTCTGCAGACCCCGTGAGGACAAGTGCACCATTTCGGGTAGGTGGGGGGCTGCAGCTGCAGCTGTGTGTACTGTGTTGCTGCCTGCTTTTCATCCCATTCCCCTCCCAATCAGGGAGCGAGGGGAAAGTACACAGCGTGCACAAATTCCTCCTCTGCACCCTTCTCTCACCATCCGGAAGTGAGAGGAATGCACCAAGCTGTGTACTTTCCTCTCGCTCCCTGATGGGTAGAGGAATGGGAAGAAGAGCAAATAGCATCCTGGGACATGTAGCTGCAGCCCCCTCTCCTGCGCCCCGAAAGGGTGCTCTTGCTGGGACAGGCAGGTGGCGGGATCCTAGTGGGTGATGGGGCCAGCGGGACCCGGGTCTGGCAGATCCAGAAGCAGATTGGCAACAGTGCTGGGAAGCCGGGTGCAAAACCTGGCGGTACGTCAGCACCCCCCACACCCACGCGGAGCTTCTCAACCCCTCCCAGCCTGATCTCCTGCACAGACTTTATCAGCTGCTCTCTGTGCCATTATCTAACTCACTAATGAAGGTGTTGACCAGAACCAATCCCTGCGGGACCACAGTCCTTATTTCAGCCGCATTCGCCTGGGCGGTAAAATGTAATGACTCCCACTAGTGCACGACTCAGATTAATAAAGCCATCACAACCATTTGCACGGCTCTGCAGGGGCCCGTGACCCAAACCTTGACCCAGACTGAGATCCAAAGTCCCCCAAAGATGGCTCGGGTCAGTGGTTTTGGTTTGATGGAGCACAGGACTGGGGACTCTGTTCTGCGACCATCCTGGAAAGAGAGATCAGAAAGTTCAGTAGGAGGGGTATATACCGGTGGGTTCTAGGGTGTGTGATCTGATTTGGGGACATTGCTGGAGGTGGGTGACAAGGGAGAGACCGTGTGAGGATTACCTGTTGTGATTCCTGCCTCTGAGGCATCTGGCATTGGCTGCTGTCGGCAGACAGGCTGCTGGGCTAGATGGACCGTTGGTCTGACCCAGTCTGGACTTTCTAACGTTCTAATGTTCTGCTTAAATACGTATCAAACAAAATGCTTTCTCTCTAGCATATTTCCAGTGCTATTTGCAATAATTAATATCCAAATGACTAACCCGAGGGACAAAATCTGAAGTTTTTACCCGGGGCCTTGTTCTTCTATATATGACAGCACATCTGAGAAGGCGAGGTAGCTACAATCACCTGGGCTGTTTTCTCCCACAGGTTGGGGGTGTGCATTCAGGACAATCGGAAGGAACCTGACTGGTGACTCTAATATGATGGACATGGAGCACATTGCACCTCGACCAACAGGATTCCAAGGGGGGGGAAAAGAGGAATTCTGCTGAGACTTGCTTCCCTAGACAGTCAGCAGATAAGGTACTGGGCTGGGAATCATGGGATAATCTATTCCTTATGCTTGCTGTGTGACCGGGAGCAGCTCACATGACCCTTGCATGCCTCAGTTTCCCCACTAGGAAGGTGAGGATAAGTGTTTTGTCCCTCCTTTGTAAAGCACTGTGGGTATGTCTACACTACCCTCCTAATTCGAACTAGGAGGGTAATGTAGGCATACCGCACTTGCAAATGAAGCCCGGGATTTGAATTTCCCGGGCTTCATTTGCATGAAGCCGGATGACGCCATTTTTAAATGCCGGCAGTTCGAACCCCGTGCCGCGCGGCTCGTGGAATGAGGAGTACAGCTACTTCGGATTAGAAGCCTAATCCGAACTAGCTACTCCGTGCCGCGTGTAGCCGCGCGGCATGGGGGTCGAACTGCCGGCATTTAAAAATTTGCACTGGCAGAATAATTATCAGAAGCTTATGTCTCTCAGGGTATGTCTACACTACCCTCCTAATTCGAATTAGGAGGGTAGTGTAGACATACCCTGAGAGACATAAGCTTCTGATAATTATTCTGCCAGTGCAAGATCCCCTCCCATATACCCATGGGAACAAGGGGGAAGGGGAGGGCGGGGCTACATCTGCCCTTGATGACACGCCCATTTCAGAATTTGGCCTGGTGTCTGTGTCGTTAAGTGGCCATGCCGTGGGCAAAGCCACCAGAACACCTTGACTGCTCCACCTGTAGCCTTTTGGTGAGCAACATGTCCTCCGTGACATCGTTAGTGCCAACCCTAAGCGGCGTGTGCGGATAAAGGTTGTCTGCGTTGAAACCCCCGGTGAAGCGAGGTAACACGCCTGCAACAAAGAAGAAACTGCCACGGTTGGCCAAAGCGGGCTGATTCACAAAGGGCATCCTTCAATTATTTAAGGAGCCGTCAGGAGTGCCATAACTTTAAGTATGAATCAAGTGGCATGACTGAAAAATTTGTCACGGTATGTTAGATCAATGGTAATTACCTTCCTGACATGAGCACTGGTATTATTTTACAGGGCTGCAAACAGGATCATGGACATGAGGAAACACAAACTGCAGTCTGATCAATACACTCTGAAATATGACTCTCCACGGCCCAAAATGGAGTTTTCGAGCCAGGCAAACCATTACCGACTGATCTCTCTCTCTGCCTTAGATAGATGCCCTGAAGGAAAACACAGCAGCAATTGGTCAACTTGTTTCTGGCTTTGAACAGGCCAGAGAATCACTTATTATTTTTAAGGACAACTGTGTGCAAATAAAAAGTCTGGGGCAGCCAAACTCCGGATGAGGGAGACGGGGAAAGAGAGGAACTTTCTCGGCTTGTATTTATTGTTGAAAACCTGAGATTCAGAAATCGGTGGTGGCTATTCAATTATGGTTTAGTAGCTGTTTGAATGCAATTCACCCTGTGCAGAAAACGACATCTGTGTCTGTACTGTAATCAAGGGTGTGATTGTAGCTCGAATGGATGTGCCCTAGCTAGCTTTAAGCTAGCTAGCTCAGGTCCCGGAGCAGCTGAGATGTGGCAGCATGTGTTTCAATGTGGGTTAACCCCGTGGGTAATTATTCACAGTGTTGTGTGGACTTGTAGAACCGGTGTGGCTAGCACTTCACTGCTCCAGTGTCAAGCTAGCTTGGGAACGACTACTCAAGCTATACTCACACCTTGTAAGTGCGGTGTAGTCAAACTCCTCAGTGACACAACCCTAGAGAGTTTACATGGAATCCAAGTGATGCTGGCTGTTGCCCACTGGAATGGTGGTCGGTTTGCATTGTTGGTGACTGTCATGGTGTAATGTATTTATTTACACCACCTTAACAGAATGTATACATTCAATCACCACACCTCAGGCAGGCCTACCTACCAACAGCTTCCTGCAGCCTGGCCTCCAACCACCTCTCTTGGAACGCTGTTTGGAGGACATTCAGTTCTCCTGTCAGTCTCAAACCCCCATTCTGTGCCTTCAAGACCCCTTGTCCAAAGCTGTCTGTTTGCTGAAATGCCATGTGCTGGCCATGTGCTGGCTGTTTGCTGAAATGCGTTTTCAATGATTCCCAAATGTTTGGTTTTGACCGGGGCCGTCGTTTAAACTCCCGTTTGTTTAAATGGAAAGACAAAAAGTCCTTCCAAACTGGGAATTTTTCCGTCCGAAAACACTGAAATGAAACATTTTAAAATGTTCCCCCCCCCCCCTTAAAAAGTTTCAAAGCTCCAATTTTTGTAAAAACCAAACCTTTCCCGGGGACTATGTTCAGTTTAGTGTGGATTTTCTGACCAAAGAAAAAAAAGTTTCCAAAAATTCCCAACCATCTCTGGTTGAAACCCTCCCCCGATGCCCTGGAGAAGCATGAAAACATTTCCTCGTGTTTACGCTGGGGTTTTTTGCATCTTCTGCTGAGTAGAAGAAATAATGCCCATGACATTGTGTACTCTATTCAAACAGCACTTAGTACAATGAGACCGTGAACTGGTTGGCCTCTAGATGTTATCACATCTAAATGTTAAATAACATTTTTTGGGTAGCAATCAAATGCATTAGCTTTGCTTTGGTGTTAAATTGCCTGCAAATTGCATTACCGAGAGAAAGCCGGCTCTTGTAGAAAAAGATAATGATTACTATGGTGTAGGGGTTTTCAAACTATGGAACATGAGTCCGACCCAGGCCTGGGTCATGGAATGTCAGGCACCAGGTCTCCTTGCTGCAGGGGAATCAGGTGAGCAGTATCCCAAAATAGTACCTCTGTGTAGATGTACCCTTTGGGTATGTCTGCACTGCAGAGTTTTTCCAGAAAAAAAAGACCGTTTTTCCAGATCTGGAAACATGATACTTACGTCCACATTGCTATTGCATTCTTTCGACAGAAAGTCAAAAGAACAGAGGGGTTTTTCTGATGGCGGTAAACCTCATTCTACGAGGAAGAAGCCTTTTTTCCGAAAAAGGCATGTGAGGACATGGAAAAGAGTGTTTTTTCGAACAAAGAGGCCTCTAGGAAAAAGCATAGGTGCCCTGGTGACCACTCCGTCGAAAGTAATCGCAACTTAAATGCAAGATAGCATCCAATGAATGTGGACGCTATCTTTCGAAAAAGAGTATCACTTTTTCGTTGCACTTTTGCTGTGTGGACGCTCTTTTTTGAAAGAAGTTTGTCTGGAAGATCTCTTCCGGAAAAGCTTCTTCCGAAAGAAGCCTGTAGTCTAGACGTAGCCTCATTCTTTAGGATGGACTTGACTGAATCAAGGTGGGAGGACGAAACGAAAGGGGTGTTGGAGCTGGTGTCATTTGGACTGGCACTGGGAGAATGTGGAAGGACCTTCAGCGGTGTGGCCAATGAAGGTTCTCGAAATCAAGGACAAGAAGTTTGAGTTTGATGGGCAGAGAAATAGAGGGAAGAGAGAGAACAAATGGATGCCAAGAGGGAGGAACATGGTCCAAGCAACAGATAGAAATGTTGGGTCTAGCGGCCACTTTCCAGGCAGACTGGACGAGGAAGCTGCTAAAGAGCCGTGAGAGGTGCGGAGGGCAGATGTCCATTTAGGGTGCGAACCAGTGAATTAGCTGCCAGGATGGCGAGGAGCTGGTGAACTTTAGTGCGATGGTGTAGAAAGAAGCAGCAGGCCATGGTGAAAGCCTGGATCTAGAGGAGTCAGAGATGGCCCTGATCTAGCTGGAAGCATGGTGTGGTTAGTCACCTTGGAGAACTGGAGCTATTGCCAAAAGGGCTTTGGAAGCACGGTGAGGCATTCTGGTTTCTTCATACCGAGTCTCTGGTGACATCAGAGCATCTGAGTTGACATCAGCAAGAGAGCGAGTACACTGGAGTTGAACAGAGGTTGATAGGTCCAGCATGGAGAAGACTTGAAAGTCAGTCCCATCGAAATATGTTAAAAAGAGAGACCCTTAGGGCATGTCCACACTAGGGAACTATTTTGAAAGAACTAAAATCGATTTAATAACTCCCGAAATAACAAAATCGAAATAGCGTGTCTTCACTTGAGTCGCAGGCAGGCACCGTTCATGTGGACGTGCTACCTCGTTTTAGAGCCCCAGGAAGCACTGGGGTGTAATTATTTCAAATTACTCTGGGGAGGAGCTATTTCAAAATAGCGGCATTGGAGCATCCACACAACTGCTATTTTGAAGTAATTATTTTGAAATCAGCGTTATTCCCCAGGGAAACCAGAAGTGTAGATTTCGAAATGAGCAGCCCATTACTGCAAAATAACGGGATTGGTAGTGTGGATGCTCTACTTATGAATGCGACCTAAGGGAGGTTATTTTGAAATAAAGCCCTAGCGTAGACCGGGACATAGAGAGGAGGTCATCAAGGGTGCATTTACACTGCAGAGCTTAACTCGAAATAAGCTACGCAAATTGATCTACGTCAATTGCGTAGCTTACTTCGGAATAGCTTATTTTGAAATTGGGAGCATCTACACAGCACTGATTTTGAATTAGATCACTCTTCCTCCGACTTCCCTTATTCCTCGTACATGGAGGGTTACAGGAGTCGGAGTAAGAAGTCCTCCAGCTTGACAGTATTTAGACAATATTTCAAAATAACTTCCTGCTGTGTAGATGCAGACTAAGTTATTTCGAAATAATGTTGCTGTGTAGACATTCCCCCCATGATAAGGTGTAGACAGGAAGTAGAGGGCTGGGGATACAGCAGAGCAGAATTCTCACAGAATGTGGTTACATCATATCTCATGTAGGTTTTTAAACCGTACTCTTGCACATAGCATCTGAGCATCACTGTTGCTCGTGAATCAAGAGGCTGGATCATGCCCCCAACACCACGGTGGGAAAACATTTGAATAAAGCGGTGGGGAGTGGGGAAGGAAAGGGCAAATGTATGGCAAGCATAAGGGAGAAATGTCCTTCCTGTACCCATCAGTTGGTGGATCATTTATATCATAGGGAGAAAAAAAATCCCTGAAATTATTGTCATTTCTCTTCCTTTCTGACGTGCCTTATCAACACGGAATTCTGGGCCGTAATGGGAATTGGAAGTCTGGGATTTTAGGTGGCTTTTGTTGTTTGTCTTGATTTTAAAGCACCACTGAATTGTCAGACACCCTGTTTGGGTCACTGTTGGTGTTCTCTAGCTCAGTGTTTCTCAACCAGTGGTACGAGCACCCGTAGAGTATGTTGGGGTTGGTCCTGCTGTGAAGACGGGGGACTGGACTCGATGACCTTTCAAGGTCCCTTCCAGTTCTAGGAGATAGGCATCTCCCTTCATTTAGACTACAAGCCTCTTTTGAAAAAGCTTCTTTCGAAAGAGATCATTTAGACAGCCATTGCTTTTTTGAAAAAGCCCTGTTTATGGTCAAGAATGCCGTTTTTCAAAAGAGCTCTTTCAAAAAAAGACATTCTTCCTCGTAAAATGAGGTTTACCGCTGTCAAAAAAAAGCTGCATTCTTTAGATTTAATTTCAATTAAATGCAGGTGATGTTTTTTCGAAAAAGGCCAGTTTTTTTTTAAAAAAAAAAAATCTTGTAGATTAGACATAACCATATAGGTACTCGAGAGAAGTCTGCAGGGAGGTACAGCAACACCACTGAAATTTGGAGAAAACTGAATTTTTGTTTTAAGCTTTACAGCACTTTATTATTTTTGTACTTTTTACACCCAAAAATGTCATTGCCCACCTGGCTATGATGAAGTTGTTTAAACAAATGTGTTGCAATGGTAGAAAAAAAATGTGTGTCTGAAAACTGTAGCTACTGCTGGTACTTTTTTTTTTTTAAACGGGTATTTTATACAAAGAAGGTTGAGAAACACTGCTAAGCCATTCTGGCCTGGTAGAACACGAAGTTACCAGAAGAGTGAATTTGATCCAGTTAATTTTGCTCTCTCCAGGTTTGTCACACTGGCAAAGGGGAAGGGAGTGGCTGAATAGAGCACTGCACTGGGATATTATCTGGGTCACCTAAAGCAATATGCAGTGGTAGGAAGCAGGAACGAGGCCTAGCGCTCCTGAGGTGAATAGTTCAGAAGTAGCCATGCATTATTTTGGAAGGGGTCACAAAGTAGGGTATAAATTCATGAACAGCTAAAGTTGTGACCTCATAAAAATGATAAACGGTTGATGGTGCAGATAACAGGATTCATAAGGGAAATTTATTGGCCACTCATGCGGTATAAATATATTTATACCATACTAGTGGGAAATAAAAATACAACAATAAATCATATTCCATCTACAACTATACTAATAGCATGAGTAGCTATAGGTATCACCAACATTTTTATACCAGTAGACACTGCCTCTGGCATCGTGCAAATAATA